GGGATCAGACTCAGGCTGGCAGGCTTGTTAGCTGCTCCATTTACTCACTGACCCATCTAACCAACCCCTTATTTTTCTTAAAATTTATTTATTTTATTTATGAGCACACTGTAGCTGTCTTCAGACACACCAAAAGAGGGCATTCAATCTCATTACGGATGGTTGTGAGCCACCATGTGGTTTCTGGGATTTGAACTCAGGACCTCTGGAAGAGCAGTCAGTACTCTTAACTGCTGAGCCATCTCTCCAGCCCCACCCCTTATCTTTTAAAGCATTTAGTTTAGTTTGTCCTTTTGCAACAAGGTCTTGTTGTATGTGTTCACTCAGTCTGACCTAGAGTCCCAGTCTTGTGTCCGAGCTTCCCGAGCGCTAAGAAGACCCGTGCTTCCATGTCTGCCCTTAGAGCCCTATATTAGGATTGAAAGTAAAAGAAAGTTAAGTCTGGTCGCTCAACACTTAATCCCAGGACTCAAGTGCCAAGACACTAGGATGGCTGTGTGTGCCAGGCCAGCTGGAGGTGAGGATGACAATGACACTGCATGAGAGAAGAAGGTTCATTAGGTAGGACCTCTGCTTCTCAGAGGCAGGTCTGATAAGCTGAATTCAATCCTCAGAGTCCACATTGATGTGGAGGAGGAGAAATGACTTGACACAAGTTGTTGTGTGATGCTCACAGCTCATGGCCTGAGTTCTGTCTCCAGAAGTACCAGCTCCACACACTTGGCCTCTGGCCTCCATAATATGCCATGGCTCAATAATTTTTCTTTTAGTTACAGTGCACTCCCCCTTTGGGGGGGGGGATGTGTGTGTGTGTGTGTGTGTGTGTGTGTGCGCGCACTGGGGGTGGTGTGGGATCTCTGTTGCCTAGATTACCCTCAAATTCTTGAATGCAAGCTATCTTCCTGCCTTGTCCTCTTAAGTAGTTGGGGTCTGCACCTACTGTGTCTGTCTTGTTGTTTATTTATTTTGAATTAACTGGTGTAAGAGTTGAGTATGCATTGATCCTGGAAAAATGCTGCTTTTTTATAAGATGAACACTAATTTTGAGACTCAATTGAATGAGAAATAAACACATGAGATGATTTTGTCAGAAGCCCATAAATGGTTGAAGATTAAATTAACCTAATAGAGAAACTTTGTGTAGCTTTTGTTGGGAGTATATTACATAAATGGAGCCTTCAAAAATTCCTTTCTTTACCATTAATACTGTGGGAGTGAAATCTATATAGGGCAAGATGGTGTTTCATAAAGGCTCTAAGTACCACAGATAGTATTTCTTGAATTTTTAGGCAGCCGTTTAAAAAATGTAAGAACACATTTTAAAACTGAACATTGTAGTACACATAATCTCAGTGTGCAAATCTGAGGTAAGAGCATTATAACAGGTGAGACTCTTGACTCAACAGAGTTTATTAGCCCTTAACTGGTAGAAAAGCAAGTAGTTTGTTAGCCATTTTCAGAGTTGGTGGTAAAACACTTACCCAGCATGCACTCACTGCCCACCCAATCCCCAAATTGTCTTTGCATTTTACACCATAGGAGATTAAATCTATCTAGGGCCTGAATAGGTAGACACACAGAACTGTATAGAACTGTATCTCCAGCCCTTTGTTTGTTTGTTTGTTTGTTTGTTTCTTTGTCTTTTTTTCCTTTGGCTTGGTTTTTTGTTGTTTTTGTTTTGTTTTAAAGGCAGTTTCTCTGTGTAACCCTGGGTGTCCTGGAAGTCTGAAGTTGTACCTGCCTCTGCCTCCCGAGCACTGGGACTTTGGGGGCATGCAGAGATGCCACCACCCAGCAAAGATTTTCTTCTTGGGGAGAATTTTACTCACTGTTGGCTAAGTATAATTGTAAAGCCAGGCCTGGAGAGATGGCTCAGCAGTTAAGAGCACTGACTGCTCCTCCAGAGTTCCTGAGTTCAATTCCCAGCATCCACATGCTGGCTTACAACTATCTGTAAAGGGATCTGATGTCCTCTTGTGTTGTGCCTGAAGACAGCTACAGTGCATTTAAAGTCGGTCTGCTCTAGTGAGTTCTAGGCCAGCCAGGGCTACAGAGGGAGACCCTTTCTCAAAAGCAAAAAAGACTTTAAGAAATTTTGGAGCTGGGAATATAGCTCTCAGAATACTCCGTTACCACAAAAAATTTTTAATAAAAGTTGTAATAGGAAATTTAGGGGTAAAGCTGTTATTTGTATTAAACGTGATTCATATCGATATACTTACTTACATTTAAAACATTTGGTTTTTTTTTTCTTCCCCCTAGGCTCCCGGGGGGCTTTCTGTGAAGTAAGACCAGATGATAAAAGGATTCTGGAGTTTTACAGCAAGTTAGGCTGTTTTGAAATTGCAAAGATGGAAGGATTTCCAAAGGATGTGGTTATACTTGGTCGAAGCCTGTGACACTTGTTGGCACCGTGAACTGTCCAAAAGTCTCTTAACTCCCCCTTGTGGTTGGCGGTTGAGGTCTTCACACAGTTCAGTGTCTGGAGCGGCAGCAGATCAACCAGTTGACTTGAAAACAAAGATGACTGTAACACGCACCCATCACATTTCAGATGCTCACTGGTTGGGAGAAGACAGCACTGCTGCCTGTCCTGTGCAGCTTGTGCTGGGCTCCTCCTCGGGTCTGGTGTTAGTGTCAGGGCCTCTCATGGGGTTCTCTAGGGAGAGCTTCTTAAATAAATGTAGTCAGCACTATTTCCTGCATCCAGTGTGGTTGCATTTCTCACCTAAGAGCAATGAAGATCAGTCACTCTCTTTATTCTCCTTGGTGTGCAGAATGAAATGCCTCTATTCTTTGGAGACATGGCAGGAATGAGAAAATTTTAGTGAGTTTAAATTTGGGGCAATTTTTCTGTTTTTTGTAAAGTTCTGGACAACCGTCTCCTGTAACTGTTGGTTCAGGCCATTGTGCTTTGTTAGGGACGAATGTGCATTTGTTTGTGGCAAAGGCCTAAATCAACAAACGTGTAAATCTCTTTGTATATAGACTAGCTGTAACTTGACTGTTCTTTGTTTACTGTTTTATATATTATGTTTTTTTTTTCCCTTTGAAAATGAAAGGTGTTGGTTTAGGATGGCACTTTGAATAATGTAAACCAGTGAATGGTAGATTTCCTTTACATTTGTCCCTTTCTTCCTAAGAAGTTTTATTTTTGAAGTGCCTCCCACAAAGGGATAGGCCATGACTATGGGGTATGAGCACCTAACTTCATATGACTCAAAACTGTTGGGAAGTGCAGTTACTTCTGGGGATTAACCTTAATAGCAGATCCGCATGTGAAATGTTTTGACATTGTCAAGTAAGGGTAAGGGAACTGACTAGTGGTCTCATTTGCCCTTGGAACAGTTGTCATTTAATTGAAAAGACCTGTTAACTACTGGTTTAATTGGATCAGTCTTTAATTCTTGCATGTTTGTATCTAATTTTTAAAAGAAAGAATAAGTATATGTTAACCATAAGTATACTTTTTCTTCTAATCAGAGATTCTGAAAACTTCATGTTTAATTTAGATTTGGTGAATTTAAGGGTTTTGAGCATGAAGCTGGCAGATAGTCTCTGCAGGATTATTATTTTTTAATCATGGCTAGCTATCTTGTAACTTTACAGATTTCCAACAGTATTTTGTTACCTTGCTTTCCTCCAGTTTTACATCAGCTTTTGAACTTTGAGCTGAGGGGGGAGAGAGAATAGGAAGTTTGAAACATTTTCCTTTATAGAACTCCAGTGTGAGCTTGAGCTGGTCTTACGTTTTAGCACTGTATATAGTGGACCCAGTGACTTGCACCAGAGGCCCAGGAGTGTGTTGAAATAAGCCACCTCACTGGGATACAAACCTTTGGTAGGATGTGTTGGGAAACTTAAATCAAGTTTGGGTTGAAGGCTGGGGTGAAGGGCAGAGTTGTTACTAGATTCTCAGATGGTTTAATGTTCCTCAGCTTTCTGAATACGTCTCATGCCTTAGGGGGAATTACGTTTTATTTGGAGGATTTCAGAGTTTCATACAGAATCAGGAATTTTAAACAAGTTGCTTTTTGTTTAATGTTGGCTTTCAATAATCACTTGGGATGATCTGGACATAACTGAAAACGTCCAGGTCTATACTGTAGGATAAAGTGCTATGCCATCTTTCATGGTTATGAATATTTATTAAGGTTGGAATAACATTTCATTGATTGTTTGGATCACAGCTCAGTTCCTATAGAAATCGAACTGTAAAACTATCTGCAGACCATGCAAGAGGCACAATAAAACTTGAAGTGAGTATGTGTGGTGTGCTGCCTTTTCTCTGGTTTCTCGCATCTTTTCTTTTCCCTCATGTCTCTTGATTCCTCACATATCCGGGGCTATTTATTTCAGTGTAGGCTGGATTTTGAAGACAGCCCTCCCCTCCTGCCTTCCACAGCAAAGAGTTTGCTCCGAAAAGTACATTTGTCTTTTAAGTTGTTGCTGTCTCATCTTACTACGTGTAAGATGTGTGTGAAGTTGAGGGTGTCACTGAGCTGCTTTATGGGATAGGGAGCACATGGATCTTTAAGGAATATTGGTGTGGGGTCTGGAGGTTGTCGCCTAAGAAGAGGGGGGGCTGTAATAAGAACAGTAGTTGATTTCCACATCTGAGCTGTCCTTGCTGTCAAGCCTCTGTCAGGAATAAGGGAGTTTATATAAGGGGTGGCTAATTTGGCATGGATGTGGGTGGGAATCTCTGTGCAAAGTAAAAATGACTGCTCAGTACCCCGAGTTTACACTAACATCTGTACATATCCCCGGGTTGGAAGATAGGGACTCAGTGAATGGACGTTAACTTTAATCCTGCGTGAAAATTTCTTCTGAGGCCTTGCTACCTGCGCTTACGGAAGAGACGATGGCTGCTCTCGCCCAGCACGACGGTTCGGGTGCCTCGCGCCTGGCTGCGCGCGTCTCCTTTAATGGGCGGGGCCGGAACTGGCTGAGGCGCGGCGTTCGGTGCGTGGGGGGCGGGGCTCTCACGGCCGTTTCAGCATGGCCGCCGGCGCCGCGGCTGCTTTAGCCTTCTTGAACCAAGAGAGCCGAGCCCGGGCTGGGGGCGTCGGGGGCCTGAGGGTCCCGCCACCCGTCACAATGGATAGTTTCTTCTTCGGTATTGAACACGGGAGTGGCAGAGTGGTATGGGATGGGTGAGGCGTCAGGCTGAGGAACACGGCTGGGCGACGTGGGTGTTGGCCGAGGGCTCCTCGCCTTTCCCTAACCCTTCGCGGCCTGTACGGCCCGAGAGGGACGGCCATCCGAGTGTTTTAGGCGAGTAAACGGCCGGTCACCCCGCTGCGGCACATGGCCGGGTGCAGGGGACAGCGAAGTTTGTGAAACGGCCTCGCGCTCTGTCGCCTCCACGAGCGCGCCTCAGGCGAACGCACTGGCTCTTGCAGGTTGTGAGCTCTCCGGCCACACCCGCTCCTTTACTTTCAAGGTGGAGGAAGAGGATGACACGGAACACGTGCTGGCTTTGAACATGGTAAGGGGCTGGAGAGGGAGTTGGCGATGCAGGTGACTAGCGGACACTCCGCCTATCTCCCCTCCCTCACTCTCGGATTGAGTGTCACTTGTGGCTGCCCTCAAAGGGTTACTTCTCTGGTCCCCTCATCGGGTACCACTGAGACTAGGCTGGTTTTAGGGAGATGCCTTCGCATTGGTGTTAGCCCTCCCTTGAGACGCTGAGGTTCTGTATGCCTTTCAGCTGTGCCTTACCGAGGGGGCCAAGGACGAGTGTAATGTGGTGGAAGTTGTGGCCCGGGATCACGACAATCAGGAGATTGCAGTCCCGGTGGCCAACCTCAGGTTGTCTTGCCAGCCCATGGTGAGTTGGAACTGTTCGTTTGTTGGAGTATAGTGGGGGTTGAGAACTTCAGTATTAATCTTAAAATGGGTGGGCCAGAACGGATCAGGCCTTCATTCCTGTCTTCCAGCTCAGTCTAGATGATTTCCAGCTCCAACCACCTGTAACCTTCCGCCTGAAGTCCGGTTCTGGTCCTGTGCGGATCACTGGTCGGCATCAGATCGGTGAGAAGAGTTGGCCCTCTTCTCAGGCCTGCCTCCCTCTCCACTCTTGACTTCCTCCAGCCACCCCTTCCAGTGTATCCTGCATCTCAGGTTGTGGTATTATGTGCCTCTCACTGCCTCCTTCAGGCCTGGGAACTTCCTGGACCCTGCCCCCGGTGTCCAGCTCCGACCATGTGCTCAGGCTTTTTTTTTTTTTCCCACCAGTTCAATATCCGAGGTTCTTCCCATCTGGACTCAGGAACTCTGGGAGATGAGGTGCCCTGTCAGCCTAGCAGCTCAGGGCACAGACTAAGTGGTGTTTAAGGGCCTTTGGCTTTAACCTCTGTACTGTGTGTATCCACCAGTTTGTATAAACAACGATCTTTCTGAAGAAGAGAGTGAAGATGAGAGCGAAGATGAAATTAAGCTGTGTGGCATCCTTCCTGCCAAGAAGCATAGGGGCAGGCCCTAGCCCTCTGGTGAGGAGGAGGGGAGGGGATTCCAGCAGGATCTGGGAAGTTAAGGGGAACAGGCAGGTGAGGCCAAAGATACTGACTTCTTTCTTGCTTTTCTCAGGTGAGGTAGCTGCTTGCTACAGGTGCCATGCTCCATATGTTCCTGGACAAGTTCAAGAATGTTTTTCTCGCTGAAAAGGATAGTTTGGGAAGGGTGTAGGTGGGAGGGCCTTGGGCTGATTCTAAGAGAGCAGTCATTCTCCATAGGGGTCCTGTGTTTGGTCCTGTGGTGCCCTTTTCTATTGGGGTGGGGCGACTTTTGAACACCTCTTCTGACCCACCCAGATTCAGTCCCCAGCACTGCAAAAAAAAAAAAAAAAGTTCAGAACACATTTTTGACACTTTTTACATTTTTAGATAAATATCTGAATAAAGTGGTGTATGGTTGTTTTGCAATCCCTGTGTGGCTTTTTTTTTCAATGCTGAGATGACATTTCCCTAGGGACCACCAGGTGGCACTGTAGCAGCACAAAGGTTGGCCTAGGCCTTGGGCTGGTGAGATGTGGGATCGTAGTCCCTAGGGCTTTGAGCCCAAAGCAGGCCTAAGTCCCTCTGCCTTGCTGCCGAGGGACCTCCCATTCCAGCCTAGTCCATGTTCCTGCAGGTGGGGGAGGGCCGTCACAGGAGGTTATCAACTTCCAAACAAGGGGTCTGGGCCTCTGTCAGCACTCAGGCTGATGGGCAGGGGGACAGATAAGTGGGCTTAAGAAACCTGAGGAATGTGCATCCTAGCCCCATGAGGGGCTCAGCCCAGGGAGAGGGCCTGCGAGGGGTGGGGACCACTCTCCTCCTCTGGTCTTTTGAGGTAGGTTGAGTAGAGCAGGGCCCTTGGAAACCTGATTCTCAGGGCCAGATGGAGGGAACTGGCCAGATTGGGTGACAGGGAAACCAGAATCCGGGTGGCCTGGCATATGGGGCCAGAAAGGAGCCCATGGGAATCAATCCCTCCCCTCTGCCCCCATCACTGCCACACTGTCTTATCCCTAGAGTGAGGTGGTCCTTGGGCCTGGCTACTTTTATGCCAGGAAGAGAAATAGGGTTGCTTGTGTGAGCACTGTGCACCCAGGGGTCAGTAGTTCAGCAGTGTTGACAGGTTGGGGTGGGTGGGGGATCAGTGTCCTACAAACAAACAAACGGTTACTTCCCCAGACAAGCTGAAGACGGACAGAGAGCAGGGCCTGAGAATCCGGCCAACTCACACCGCTGACCAACAAGTAGGGGGCCTCTCTGTAATACAAAGAGGCTGGGTTGAGCTTAGGCTGTTAACTTCAAGAGTGTCCCCTACAGTAGAGAAAGCGGTACCTAACCCAGGTGTGGTAGGTAGCACAGGAGACAAGGAAATTGGGAACTGGAGTCCAACTTGGGCCCCATGGGGTAGAGGTTAGGAAGTCGTTGATCCTGACCGCAAAAGTTTGTCCCCATCTATGTGAGGAGTTAGGGGTAAGTTTTCAACCTTCCTTTCTCCAGTGAGAGATGCCCTTTTGTGTTTCAACGATTAGGATCGTGGGTGCCCTTTTTTTTTTTTTTTTCTTTTCGAGACAGGGTTTCTCTGTGTAGCCCTGGCTGTCCTGGAACTCTCTGTAGACCAGGCTGGGCTCGAACTCAGAAATCTGCCTGCCTCTGCCTCCCAAGTGCTGGGATTAAAGGCGTGCGCCACCACTGCCCAGCGTGGGTGCCTTCTCAAGAGTCCACGACCTTACCTCCAGTTTCCACATTAGAGTATCCATCCGATTGGAGGGGGAAGGCGAAAACTGGCGCCCTCTGGTGGGCGTGTTTAAAATTGCTCGTGGTCGGTACGGGGATTAACGATAGCTAAATTTAAGGCAGGATAGGAGAGAATAAATCATTAAGTTTTAAAAGAATATATGCGGGGCTGGAGAGATGGCTCAGTGGTTAAGAGCACTGACTGCTCTTCCAGAGGCCATGAGTTCAATTCCCAGCAACCACATGGTGGCTCACAACCATCTGCAATGATATCTGATGCCCTCTTGTGGGGTGTCTGAAGACAGCTACAGTTTACTTACATATAATAAAAATAAACAAATAAATTAAAAAAAAAAGCATATATGCTTTCATCCTCATGAAGCGCCCGTGCTAGAGGAGAGTAGTTAGTTGGGGGCACTCTCTTTTCCTACCTCCTTTCGGCTCCTGCCTCCAACCCCTTGGTAGGTGCCTGTAGGTGCAGCGACGAGCCACTTCTCCGGAAGTGGCCTTCCAAACTCACTCGCCTAGCCCACGGTCATACTCCCCCACCACCAGTGTACCCCCTGTGACTCCACTGATCGCCCATTGTATTTCTCGCCTGTTTTCCTGGCGGGTGGACTACGAGCACAGCCCTGGCCGCAGTGGGAGCCCAATCCACATTTGCCTTCTAGTTCAGGAGTTTCCCGGCCCCTTGCCGCGCGTCGCAGACAGACCTGGGAATTGTTTTTTCCTTCTTTCCAGATCACACCTTTTCGGGATACCCTTTTCTGCACTCTCAGCACACAACAGGACTCCTGCCAATTATCTGGCCTCAGAGAACTTGTGGGATGTAGGCATACATAGGATGGTGTCTGGAGAACGCTGAAAGAAGGGCAACCCGATACGGGGTGGGGGACAGACACGAAGAACTGCAGGTCTCTGTCGCGGTTCGAAGTGGCTAACGCAGACGCGGAGATTTTCCATTTGAACCATCCTGAGTTTGTGGCACTTTGAACGGTGGGCACTGGAGGGGCGCAGCGCTGTGACCTGCAGGCATGGTGGCCTGGGTGTGGATCTGAGGGGCCTGGTGAGGGGGTGCGTTTGAGTCCTGGCGACCGCATGTTTGCAGAGAGGGCCGTTTGTGTTGGCAAAGAGTGTGTGTTTGTGTTTGCAGGAGGAAGTGTGTGTATGTGTGTGTTTGTGTTTGTGGAGTGTGGGGGCGGCAGGGAAAGGTGGCCAGGCTGTCACTCAGGGATCAGGATGACAGGCGCTCCCTCATCTAGGCGCGGGAGCTCTGATTGCAGATTCGAGGAAACAAAATAGCAATTGTAATTACGGGGCTTTGATAAGATAAAGGAAGGAGGGAGCTGGCCGGGAGGCAGGCAAGCAAGGGAGGGAGGGAGAGCGGCCTGCAGGAGCCCGACGGAACATTTGCATCTGTCAGTCACCGCCTGCTCTGGGTGCCCACTGTGGGGGAGGCACATCTATCCTTGCTTCCCCTCAAAGACAGGGAATTTTGGGGAGACAGGAAGGATCCCGAAGATCTGGGTGAAGCTCTGATGCGTTCATGGGAGTTTTCACATGTGAAAGAATTTGGTCTCCTATAGGTGGGAGCAGAGTTCAAATGTAGGAGGAAAACCGTGACCTGGGTCCTTTCCTGAGGCTGGGGTACTGGTGTCTGCTGAGGGTGAGAAAAGTGATTCACAGATGGTGAATCAATAAGGTTCAGCTCTGGAGGAGCCATAACCCTGATGCAACTCAGGTGCCCCACCCTTCACATACACACACACACACATGCACACTCGTGCACACACACACACACACACACACACACACACACACACGCCTCCCTGGCAGGAACTAGAACCCGGGCTCTACTGACAGGCTGCTTCCCTGATCTCCCCTACCTGTGTCTTGTTCCTCAAAGCTTATTTTCAAAGTATTGTGTTCACAGTGAAGAGAGGGGCCTTCCTTTTCCAGAAGAGTCTGTCCTTTGCTTTCATCTGTTTAGGCATTCACTCGTTAATGCATTCAAGAATAAACATTCTTGAGTATCTCTTATGCTCTACACATGAAGTAAATTCTGTGAGCAAACAGACATCACTTTTGCCAGCTTGGAGCAATCAAAAACAAACAAACAACAACAAAAAAAGACAAGTCATCCCAAAAGCCTCTCTGCACAGCACACAGAGAAAGAAAGGGGCTGGCCTTTGTTGAGGACACTGGAGCCCCTCTAGTTCATTTTCCCCTTCATGGACTCTATTTCCAGTGGGGTTGAAAGGAGCTATTGCCTGCCAAATCACTGACGATACAAGCTATCATCAGTGGGCAGGTGAAGCCAAGTCTCCTTGAAAAGTCACCACAGGTGGAAGGCAGTCTAAATGTTCAGTCAGGTTGCCCTCATTTGTCCGTCCGTCCGTCCATCCATCCATCCATCCATCCATCCATCCATCCAACACTACCTGCAGAGCAGCTCTGTCCAGCTCTGCCATGAGCTGCAATCCTTGAGCTTGCTAGACAGTTCCCTTACCTCCAGGTCTGTGTGGATCAAAACAGAGGGAAACAGAATCTGTGAGAATCGCCCATGAGCTCAGGAAGTCTACTTCTCTGAGGAGGGCTGCGTCGGACTCCTTGGAACCCGTTCTATATACTGCTCAGCACTTGAAGGGCTGAGATGGACTCCCCTGGCTTTATATATATTTGCAGTACGGGGTGGAGAAAGATGGGAAACAGAAATGGGGGCTGCAGGCAGAACCAGATGTTGACTGACAAGGCCTGCTTGCCTCTCTTTAGCCTACAAAGACTTCCTAGGGCCACCTCAAACCTCGGGTTCTACCCTAGAGGCACAGAGGGTCTCTCAGTAAAGAGGAGACTCTGGATGAAGGCAGCAACTGGGTGGTGGTACATCAATGGAGCCACCCGTTCCTCAAAAATACCTGGCCGGGGAAATCTCTGCCTACCCAGGTTGTGCCCCAGAAACAAAATAGTGGCTCGGGGTTCCCAGAAGCCCTGTGAAGAAAGCAATGAGGTGAGGGGCTTGGAAAGGCTCACAGAAGTCTCTACCTTCTCACCAGCACCTCGCCTCTTCCTACTGACAAAAAACATCAGGTCCCCGCTCAAGGAAAACCTGGAACTCAGAGGGTTCGGCTAGGTAGCTTGGGTCCATGTCCTGAGTATTGTTGAATGTAGTTATTTTTACTCCTTGCTGTTTCCGGTGGGAAGCAGTGGTTGCGGGTCCTTCAGGGACCCTTGAGCTCATACCACATAGACGCCCCAAGGTTCCTCTCAAGCTTCAGACTAATGGGAGTTGAATGGGAACGGACAGGAGCAGGGCTGAAGGTGATAATGGGCTGGCAAGAGGCATTTCTCCCTCCCAGAGCCTCTTTGGAGCCTGTGAGACAGGAAACCAGCAGGGTTAGGTTCTCCGAAAGGTGAAGACACCGGGTTCCAGCGGCGCCCAAGGGACGCTCAGCACCGGGGCCCAGTTCACTACGTTAGTTGGCGCTTCCAAGAGGGGCGAGTGCGGCCGAAACACACATTAGGCGACTCAGAGACCTTCGAGGAGGCCAGAGATAAGCAGACCCCTACCCCACGCGGAGAAACGGTCCTGCAGGACTCAAGCGTACGGGACCCCACCAAACATGCTGTCCCAGGCACACACCCCCATCCCTGGGCAATCCCGCCCCCAGAACGCTGGAAGAGACAGGCAAGGG